AATAGCTAAAGCAAATGGAAGAAATGAAAAGGTAAAAGGGCTGAACAGAAGATTTCAAAGAGCAGCTCGAGTAGACAAAGCCAATTACTGTAATGAAATGTGCAAAGACCTGGAGTCTGAAAACCAGAAAGGAAGAACATGCTTGGCATTTCTCAAACTGAAAGAACTGAAGAAAAATTTTAAGCCTTATGAAAAACAACAGTAATAATAATAATTTAAAAATAGACAAAAACAAACAAACTAACAAAAAAAAAAATCTAGGCAGGTCGGGCCAGGGCACCCAGGCTCCATTGGAGCACACAGACTGGGATGGAATTCCTGCCGGTGCAGAAGGCTTGTGGGAGTGAGGAATTGCTGCACTTCCCTTTACTGAGAAGGTGTGGGTTATAAGAGTAACAAGGGAAATATCGCCCGTTTCCAGTCATTGGTGTCTGAAATGTCCTTGTGGTTCCCTGGAATCTGGGTGAATGCTGTCACTTTAAATATCCAAAATGGTCCAACTGCTTGTAAACTTTAAAAATGACTGTGCCCTCCAGACAGGCACAGCCCACCTTCCTTCTAGCTGCTTCCCTTTTTATGCATTTTGTCACCAGAGCAGTCTTCCATGCAGTCCCTGGCTAGCAGGACCAATTTTTAGGTTAATTCTTAAGTCCCAACACCACTTGGCAATTTCCAAGCTGTCTGTGCCGTTAGGATTGCTGACAGACCACAGCTCTGTATGTCTCCTTTTTTGGTGTTTTCATGCAGATTTTTCTATTAGTTGGCATTCAGTCCACGTCTGTATCCTTCCCTTCAAAGCTCAGGAGTCCAGGATTATCTTCTGTATCTGTGTTAATTGGTTCCCCTTTTCTTTGTTGAAGAGGGTTTGTGCAGTCTTTCTTCCTATTCTGTCATCTTAACCAGAACTCTTGCAGTTTGGAAATTTCTTAAATTAAGATAATTTTATTCACATAAATCAGTAGGAAATTTCTTTATTATTTTCAGTATATTTTGTTTCATGCATGTATGTATTTTATGCTCATGTTGATCTATGAATAACCCATTGTCTTTTGCCTTCAGTGTAAAGAGTTTATTGATGGAAGCTTACAAACTGGAGGTAAGTCATGTTTTCTTTAGTTATGTTTATTTTCAGGAAAGGTTATTTGTTGGAGTTATTTTTTTAGTCTTAAGTACATATATGGAAGTTGTAACAGTATTCCCAAATTTGTATTTTCCCAGCTACTACTTTATTGACTAGGCTTTCTTAAATATCCTGATAGAAATGTTTTCTAGTTGTTTCAGCTTTGAATCTCTTTAATCTAAAAGTCTGTTGTATTCTCTGTACAGGTAGTATAAATAAATAATATAAATATGTTTTTAATATACTTTAGCTGTTGAATCAGGTGTTTTTCTATCAGAGTAACTTTTTTTTTTTTTCAGGAAAAGTT